CTTCTGGCCTCTTTTCTCAGTTGCTAACTTGTATCTTTATGACATAGGGTAGCCTTTATCTATCTTGTCTTTCTTTTTGGAGGAGCTCCGATGCAAATGTGGTTGATTGTTTTTCTTAAGCTCTCCGTCTTACTTCGTTTCTAATAAATTACTTTTGTAAAAATTACTCTCGGAAAAATCGGAGTGGCGATAAGCCTTCTTTTTTCCTCATTAGTCTTATGCATTTATGATTAATTATTTTGTTCAAATGAGACGTATGGATAGATATTTTCTGAATTCCAATAAAATTTATGGTCTTTTCTCTATATTGAAGTTTCCTGTGATCTGATTTTAAACTGAGGATGCTTCTTTTTTTATAAGTCCGCCATATCTGCCATATCTGACGGTATGATACTAAGAAGAGATTTTCAAGCTGCACTGCTGCCATTGTGGCAGTGTTATCCCCTGGCTGTTTGCTCATTCAACCATTAATGTTATGTCGTGCGTGAACTCTCAGCATAATGGTGAGTTTCGTTCTCCCTCACCTCGTCCGTCCGAATGGAAAATATTTTCCTTCTAATTCAAACAGAGACTAGTTAACCAGAGACAATAAGAGAACGACAATAAATACAAGTTGGGTAGCTTGTTTCAGGTTAAGCGCCTACGGAAAGTTTATTCCGAGACCAATCAAATTCATAGATAACAAACAAAAAGAAAATTCAATACTGCGACGAAAATCGACAAGTGGAAGATTTTCCATAGGCTGATTTTGTCCGTGTACTTGAAAAGATTTCTTCTGTCGTTAAGGAAACAGTCACTGACTGTGAATTTTTTTTTTTTAATTGAAAGTTACGCCATTAAAAAAGTTTGCTTTTGCAATGATTCAACGCATTCATCCTGAGCCAATTCATTGAATCACTACAAAGCAAAGAATTGACAAAACTCTAAATTATTGACTGTTTCCTTACCGACAGAAGAAATCGTTTCAGGTACACTGCCAAAATCGGCATGTGGCAAATCTTCCAGTTTTCGATTTTCGTTCTCCGCTGCGAGAAATGCTTTAAAAGACGCAATGTCTTGTTCTTTTCTTCTGTTTATTTGTTTTCGGAGGATCTTAGTAAGTCTAGCCATTAGCCTTAATTATTTCTAGCTTAGAATTTAAGAATGTTCTCATGAGTAGCCATTCACTTCATTCATCTGTTTAAATATTTACTCATTTTTCCTTTTAATAAGATCTGAAAATATATTTTATTCGCGTATTCGTTACAATTGAGTTATTAAACTATTATTTCATTTGTATTTTTATTGTTATTATCATCACTACAAGGGAAAATAACTCTTTTCTCGTGTATCACTAAATAATAATTAGGGTTTCCATAATCATTATCCTTATCTCCATTTTTACTTTAACTTCAAAATAGAGCAATTCCTCTTGAGGCAACGGCTCAATACGTCATGCGATAGTGTCCAAGCTCTTGGACACTTAATGCTTACACGGAGTCTATTATTCTGCACAGGAAGAAACCCAACACCAAGGAATGTAGCGTGAGGAATCGATTTTTTTTTAAACTTCACGCCTGAGCACGACTTCATACAATGTTTGGAAACCGGGCATCTGCATTACGTTGTCCAGCTGGTCATTGTTAAAATGTACCTGTACAATGGCAAGGAAAGTACAGACGTAGAATAAAGGTACAGAAGAGGCTAGGGGTGAAAATGATATGGGGGGGGGGGAGGGGGGGGGAAGAGGGGGGAATAATCGGAACCTGGATGGTCATTTCATAAGAGCTTCAAATAAAATCGAATTATAGTCGCTTATGATTCGTGCAATTATTGAAACTAACAAGACTAACAAAACACCCCCCTTGCTCATAAGTCTAGGTAATAACATGATTTAGAATGCAGTTTGGTGTTAGTCTACACAAGTAAATTTTTCAGACATCAAAATTGTACGAGCTCGTAGGACGAATGCAGTTTGTAGTCTTCGAAATATTACAAGTACTTATTTACAGCAAATTGCACTGGAAAAAGCATCACAGAATGTTGAAACAAACGAAAATTTGATAGCGCGCGCGCTATTTGCAATTTGAATATAACTTTGCACTCGTGTTACATGGAGAATGCATGCCTTTTGGAGCCAATAAGAAGCGCGTAATCTACATTATCAACTACGAAACGCACTTGCATTTATGTGATGTCCTTTAAATCTAAGAGAGCGGAGGTATTAAAACTATCTAAGATATTAAATTAAGAAGGCGGGTACACGGGCGGTGAATAAGCGTTACACTTTGTTAGCTTGAGTGAAAGTTTATGCAACAAGTCTTGCGAGAAATATATAAAGGAGAGCTGTGTATTGAATAATTTAATTATAAAAATAATTGGACTAAAAGATATTAATTGAGAAAAAAAGCAAAATAAAAAAAGGAGAGCTAGACCAGTAGATGCCATGATTCACTTAGTTGGTCAGACCATCGATCTATTTAATTTACATTTTGAACTGGTTATCGCTATTTAGAAGCTTCTCTCTCGTATAATTATGATCGATACTCCTTTCAAATACAGTAAATGAATGAAGGGGATATATTATGGTTATTGTCATAGGGTAATACAAGATAATTTGGTTTGATCAACTGAGTTAAGATCGTCAATTGGCTACTGTGGAGAGTTTCTACAGCTCACTTTCCGAGCACTAGCCCCTCGCTAGAGCGATTTAAAAACCACATGTAATTTAGAGAAGGGATGTAAACGTTTATTGGAATACACCACCTGTACAAATTTAATGACTAGCAGAAATAATTTAGACGTGCTTTGAAATGGATCTCGTCTATTTTACCTTTTTTTTCGCAAATTTTCATCATTTGGATTCATTATCTGTGGGCATTCATTTAGACGCGAAGAAAACCTTAACAGATCCCTTCTCTCTGTAATTTTTCCATTTGTTTGTTTGTTGAGCAATGAGAAGTGTCGCTAAGGCTCAATGTTTTTCTAACTCACGATTCAAAACATCCGTGAATGTCTCACTCAAAACCTCCATTTATTCCTCTTTTTTATTATTTTTTCACAACTTATTTCTAATATCATCCGCCAGAAATAAAATTGATAAAAAAAAATTATTGGCTGCTTACATGCAGGGCCGTCCAATAACAGAAACACCAAGGCTTTTTGATTATAACATGTAGAAGAAGAAGAAGAGCAAGTAGAAGAAAAAGAAAAAGGTGAAAGTGAGATGGAGGAGGAAGAAGGAAGAAAATTAAAGCAGACAAACAAACAAAGGCAAGCCGGTTGCTCAATTGGATAGAGCCCCTCCGCATATCGCAAACGTGGATATTTCGAGCAGAGGAAGAGCACACCTAGTTGAGTCCGTACGTAAACCACTCTTTAAAAGAAAATTAAAACTAGCCCGAGTTGACATCCGGAAAAATTTGGTAGACAAAAGATATAACAAATATGGCGTGGTTTCTTTGTAAGCGTTTGTACTGCAGACGATTTACGAAATTTTAATGCTTCTGGCTTCTTCTCGGCATTGAAGGATCGAAATATGACAGAACTAAACCAAAGAACCGAGGGACTGTACGTGCATTTGCATTTTGCATTGAAATAGTTGATGGAAGGTTCTAAGTAACAAGCTGCAAGAGCTTAAGAGTATATGTACCCAGCTTGTTCCAAAAGGTTGAGTGTAACTTTGATCTCCACTTAAGAGCAAAAAAAAGAAAATCGTCACATGTTAAGGAATTGATTGGCACATTACAGCCTTTTGGGAAAGGTGAGCAAAGAAACTGTAAACCTCAAAAAATAGAGATACATAAGGACCAAAACTTTAAAAAAATAATAATAAAATGACGACGCTCACGTGTAGGAAGCAATACTGTTTCTTCTCTTTCACTTCTTTTTTTTTTTTTTTTAATTTCTTTTTTTAAACCATTATGATTTGAGCCTTATCATCATTCTGGCTGCTGAGAAAATGATGTGATCTGAAAACCACACTCAATTGAGTGCCATGGTTGAAAAACTTATTGTTTTATCATCATTCGCGTGTCTGTCGTGTTCGCGTGCAACGTGGTCGTTAAGCTACGATTACGTGTTAGTAACTTCAAACTTTACTTGACTTTCGTAAAGAGAAACTAGACAGCAATAGTATTGATTAAAAAGTGCAGTCTTTTTATAGCTTTACACCATAGAACATACTGTACACCCAGGTACGTGCACTAAGTAACAAACAGCGCTTAAGAAAGATTTTCTGCATATAGTTTTATTTGAAAATAAACAGTTAATACAATAGTGCTCTCATTCAATCACGATGTAACCCTTGTTTTCTTCCTTTGTTGCGGTGACGTCGATATCCTCGTCAGAGGGTGGAAATTATGTTTAAAGTTAATTTATCTTGTTCCAAACTTCCAAGATAAATTACAAAATGGGAAGATTTACGCCAAGGTCAAACTATCAAGCGTTCTAACCTCACCGCCATCTATCAAAGCTCGTTATCATCATTATAATTTACCAGTACAGTGATGAATAACCAAGAACTTTAACGATGTTAGCGCTTGATTTATTCACAAGATGTTTCTAGGCAAATGCCGCCTTTTCAATAAAAAAGAGTTTGATACCGCAACTCTCTTGAAACTCTACTTATGATCAACTCTACTTATGATCCTCTTGTTCTTTAGTAAACCCTATCGGATAACTTACCTTTGAATGTGAGACATCTCAAGTTAATCGATCAACCTTTAAAGGCTTTCAAATTGTGCATCGTATATCTTTACATAGTGAAAACAAATTGATAAGTAGCATAAGCTCTCTCTAGATCGACCACCTGCCCGCAAATGTGTCTTCGCCAAAGCTAGATCTTTGGGATTAAGATGCATTTCTATGACTCATTTTAGTCAATATATATTCATAACGACCAATTAAAGAGGAATAAATTTTATTTTTCCTATTTCCTTACTTAAAGATGATTCAGGACTGCTCTCGCATTTCACTGGCAATTGTGAAAGCCAAGATTTACTTGCCATCTGCTTTATTCTTAACATTTATGAATGCTTTTTTAAGAGATCTTTCGCAATAGTTTGTCTCCTTAGGCCTATAAAATAAGAGGGCTTAGATCTACGACTCAGAGTGAACAAGAAGAGGAGAGAGACGGTAATAGATACCAAAGAGTCAAAAAGATGAAGAGTAACGTTGTAGGAAAAGTCATCTGTGTCGTGTTTCTATTAGTAATGCTGGCCTCCGAAGGTGAAAGCATGGGCACTTTCATTCCAGGAGGAAAACGAGGACTGGATATCAACAAGGTTAGATTATTAAAGAAAGGCTACATTTTTTAAAGTTTTTCTGTTCTTGTCTCTGTCTTTATCTTTTTAAACTAAAGGGCTTTTTAGGAAAAATCAAATTATTTGGAGTGTTACGTTTGGACAATTTTTTGCACTGACCCATCCTGGATTACTCAAACAATTATGTGCGATTATGTTTTGATGATGAAACCGTCTAAATGTAAATGTACCAAGTTTTTTTATCTTTTTACTACGTTGATTTGGGTGGGAGGAACAATTTTAAATTGAAAGTAAGAAAAGAAAAAAAAATCAACGACAACAGTATTCCGTGACAAATTGACGGCTCCTTAGTAAAAGTACATGATGGTGTCATTTAAATTTGTATGTGAAAAACAATTTTCGTCAAGATATTATAATCTCTTCTTTCGTTCACTCACGTTATATTTGCTTTCCTTTCCAGTTCAGAGAAGCTAAGAGCTCTTTATGCAGGGCTTTGGAATGTTCTGATTTACGAATGGCCATGGCATCGCAGAACGAGATACAAAGAAAGAAAAAAGGTTCACAAAGAGGAAACAAAGGACATGATTTACATTAAAAGAAACTCGTGCCTTTCCTTACTGCCCTCGAACGGATATGACAATAGAAACAACAACAACAATAATAATATTAATAACAAGAATAACAAAAGAGAACACTTATATAGGATAGCCCCTTATCACCCAAGTACTGTTGTTAAAGGGATTCTGCTTAAATGATTAAATTACAAACAAAAAAAAATTTAAACGAAAATGAGATAAAATACAAATTTGGCTAACGTTTATCTACGGTAACTACGCTATACATAACAATATTCATCAGAGGACTTCCTAAATAATATCCTACTGCTAATGTGCCTGGTTTTTAAAGGTAAAGAGTTGAAAGATAAGGTGCCCACGAAGAAAAAACTTTTTATAGCAAAGTGAAGTTCTAGATGTTATATGCGAAAGAATAGTCTTATTTTCTCTCAACAAATATACAAATAAATTATGATGCAAAATTAGAGAAACAAAGAAAAAGTAAAATAAAGGCAGATGAGACATCACTTATTTTGTGTGTTTGGTTGAGCAATCCCCACTCACTGACTGCAAGGATTCTGCAGAATTGACATCAAATGATACTTGATACTACTTTGAAAATGCGACGCAACTTCTCAACATTTAAAAAAGAAAGGTATGGTTTTCCTCCAGCGTCCCTCAAGAGCATAAGTTAGATATTAAAAAAATATATACCTTAGCACATCAGTATATTTCTTTATTTCCATCCAAAACCAAACAAGAGTTGCCATCAAATCCTTCGTTTAATCCTTTTTACCGAGTACCATGAAATTTTTTTGTTCTTCAAGTTTTATTATGATCACTTTTATAAGTATTATTGTTATTATTACTCTAATCATAATATTCATTATTATTGTTTTTGTATCATAGTATAATGACATTTTGCATATGAAGGCGGTTAAGGCTGCACTTCTTGCAATGTAGAAAAATTGATTTATTTCGAGAAGAGGAACACCAAAAGGGAAAAACAAAATACGTAGAAAAAAAAACTGAAAAAGTAAACGAAATTGAAATCAGAATAAGCAACGAAGCCAAAAACTAAAGAAAACTCCGAAAGAGGTCGGATTAATGATGTTTCTAAAACTTGAGCAGGCATATCGTTGCCAGTTTTATTCTTCCACGAGAATCTGGAAACCAGAGAGAGCACCTTATCAGAGATCCAAGACCGAAATTAAATACAAGTGAAAGCTTTCTTTGGAAAGATTTTAATCCGTAGCAAAAAAAGCGCTTTCATGCCTGGTTAGCAAAGCGAAGAATCCTTTCATGTCTTACCTGGGAATAAAAGCTAACCTATATACCCCTTCATGTCATAGACAGAGACGGGATGTGATGTGATCAGCTGAGTTTATCTTGTGAAAAAGGGCAAACGAAAAACGTGTTTTATGATGCAAATGTAGGTATTACTCAATAGCCACTATCAACAGGATAAGCCAATTTGACAGGTGAAACTAGATTATCAGCAGGGATGAACTGGTAAATTGACGCCTACGTGTCTTTTGAGGTAATAAAGTCTCTAAAGGACTGCACGCAACAACTCATCTCGTGCTGGGTGCCATATATTCATATTCATCTTTATCAAAAGATATAAAAAACCAAAAAACTTAGTAAGACATCACGGTATAACCTATTGAATCTTACCTGGTGTACCTTTTTCAATACATTATTTCCGCCGCGCGTGTTTCTCTCGCTTGTGCATTAATCATTAATTGTTACATCCAAGCGGGTTTGCGTGCGTGGAAAATTTAAAAACCCTGGACATGTAATGACTGTAAATGCGAACAATAAAATTCTGTCAAGCTTCGCGACGCCAAGATGTCGTCTGAAGTGGATTTTTGCGACATATTCCTTCTAGTAATTAGAACACGTTTTCTCTTGATTTTTTAATGATCCAGTTCTCGTTATTAAAACATAAAAAGAAAGATAATGATGCTTAGGTGGAATTTTGATAGCCAGACATTCGTGTGTATGATTTTGACTTTTATTTTCGTGTTCGTTTCCCTCTTGCTCGTCCTTTAACCTCCTGGAATTATATTTCCTAGCGAGTCATTTAAATAAAGTTTTAAATGCACCAAGCGCCTACTATTCTGGATATGTGAAGAAACGTTATATCCCGTCTCCCTTATTTCATTAATTTTCCCGGATTATTTACAGGGATGATGCTTTTAGAATAACTTTACGCAATCATTTTCTGTGGGCTTTTAAGGCTGCAATAGAATAAAAAGCCTTACTATGAGGTATCATAGAAGCACGGTCTCATACCAAAGCTTAAGATGAAGATCGAACGATCCGTATTCCTGTGTGCCTTTTTTGTAGTAGGGATGCTAACTGTTGAGGGCGAGAGCTTTGGAAATCTCATACCGTATGGAAAAAAGATACTTTATAAAAGAAAGGTCTGTATTTATCGCTTGAAAATCTTACACCCCAGTAAACTCTGGAATTTTTCCTGATAAGTTCGGTTGTTTCTATTTTTCAGACTGATTTAGGATTTAAAAAAGAAATGAAGTTTTTAATTCGAACGGGCGTATCCATTCATTCGTTGGTTCATCCGTTCGTTCTTTCGTTCGTTCGTTGGTTCGTTGGTTCTCTCGCTCGCTCGCTCGTTCGCTCGTTCGTTCGTTCGTTCGTTCGTTCGTCCGTCCGTTCGTACGTTCGTTCGTAAGTTCGTTCGTGCGTGCGTTCGTTCGTTCGTTTGTTTGTTCGTTCATTTGATCGGTCGGACGGTTGCTCGCTCGGTCGGTCAGTCGGTCCTTTGTTTTTTTGTACGTTCCTTCATTTCCTTGTAAATCCATCCAGTCTTCATCCATCTCTCCATCCACCCATCAATCATTACATCCATTCATTCATCCATCTTTTCATGTAGTGTCTCATAAAAATATCATCCAATATAGGAATCATAGGGGAAAAAGCCCTCTGATCGTTCTTTAAACGTTTCAAAGTTTAAAGAGTGGAAAAACAAAGAAATTGCTTCCATGATGTTTTATAATTATGTAGTTCACGGCTTTGAGAAAAACAAAAGTGCAGTACAACGTAGCTTTTGATAAACAAGACAAGAATAAAGGGAAAATCAAATAAATCTATTTTCCTTCCTTTTACCTTTCTACATTTGAACGCACAGTTGCAAATGAAAACTTGTTTTTTGCCTTATTCCTCAGCTTAAGAACTGTGCAGCTTCGTGTTGTGAGTGTGGAGGAAAACCAAGCATAAAGTCCAATGGTAATCACGATGAAGTTTGGACGAAGGACGACGCAGCGAAAAGGATAACATAGTTAACATTTGAATTAAAATGAAATTTTACTTAACATTCGACAGGCGGAGGAAACAACGATAATTGGTTAAACCTTTGGAGGGATAGTAATGAAATACTGAAACTGATCGAAATTTGTAAGTTTTATTAGATCCTCAAAGTCGCCATTAAAAAGAATCACACTCTATCCTGTTAACCGTAATCGACATGATATCATGTTGTTATGCATATGATGGGTCTCAAGATTTAACTAGTTTTTCCTTACTTATCGTTGAGTTTGCTCCATTTTCCAGCATCCAAGATTTTTCGATAGACGACAAATATTACTCGCCACCCTTTTGAACTTGAAAAATCTCAACGGAACATGAGTTTCTCTATTTATTCCTCTATCTTCTGTTGCGTCAATTGTATCCCTCACTGAAGTTATGGTTTCGTGCTGAAGCGAAAGAAAAAAAGAATAAATTGAATGCCTACCGTCACCTAAATCTTTCAGACGCAAATCTGAAATAAAGAAAAAAGAGCACACACAAACCTTTCCTTTCGCAATTGATCCCCTCTTTCCGCTACGGTAGGGGCCAAGAAAGCATTTGCTCTCAACGGCGAAATTTAAGAGAATAACCACGACAAAGGCCAGAAAAGCGTACTTCTCGATCATTTCTTAAGCTGTAAGGTAGAAACCGAGTAATAAGTCAAACTGTGTTCTCGTCGTTTTATGTCAAAATTATAAGAGCAACCCCCCGGATGAAAACTGAAACAATTCCCAAAATGTCCTGACAAATAAGCCAGCAGGAAACGTATTCAAAACTCCTTGTTTTTGCGCTACTATCAAAAGGATTTCCTATTGGACAATTATAATTGCATAGCTCCACAAGAAAAGGAAAGGGAGGCTATTTACGCATGTATTTTTTACAAAAGTAATGACAGTAATTTTTGCTTCTCGAGCCTATAGATTTGTTTTGTTTACCCTCTTGGAGGCCATTTAAAGATATGAAAAGGGTCAAATGAATAAAGGGCTAAGTTTCTACAGAAACTGTGGTGCTGCGTTGGTGAAGAGTACAATAGGATAATTTGATACTAAGAAGTGGGCTGATAAAGTAAATAGGCCACCGCAGAGAGTAGCGGAGCCTTTAAATTTGTTTTGCTTACCCTCCTGGAGGCTATTCAAAGATATGAAAAGGGTCAAATGAATAAAGCGGATAAGTTTCTATAGAAACTGCGATGCTGCGTTGGTGGAGAGTACAACAGGATAATTTGGTACTAAGAAGTGGGCTGATAAAGTAAATAGGCCACCGCAGGGAGTAGCAAAGCTGACGTTTCGAACGTTTGCCCTCCTTCTGAGCGAATATTCGCTTCGACATTTGCTCTAACAAAGGGCTAACAATCAAAACGTCAGCTTTGCAACTCTTTACGGCGGCCAATTTACGTTATCAGTTCAGTTGATAATGCCAAAGTACTCTATGAAAAGGGTCAGCATTGGCGGAATCTGTATATTGCTTTGAAATTGGAACCCTTAACAAAAATCCAACCACCTTTAAGTGGAAGAAGAAAACTATCTATTTGCCTTTTCCACGCTAATTGCTCAATCTTCTCTGTTCGTCACATTGCCATATTGAACCACGCACCCATTACAAACCCCCTTTTTCAAACAAATATCATTTTGGCATATTTTGACGATGGAGTATACAAATCTTATTATAAGATCTGAAATGAATGGTACAGGGATTTATAGGGAATATAATTTTCAAAGGAAAAAATTGCTTACCCGCTCTCCTATCTTTTGCCTTTGATTTAAAAACTACGACTCTCTAAGTTTGACTGGAACGGCTCCTTTAGCCTTATAAAGATGACAATTACTGGGCCAACTTGTTCCGAACCGTTCCTTTTCCGAGTAAGACCTAGTTAGTGAATCAAACTCACCGAGGTTCGTTGAAGAGAAACCACCCAGAAAGAAAACTGATCTCGCCAAAATGAAACATAAGGAACTCATTTCTGATCATGAATTTCATAGACAAAAAACTTTTTCTGATCATGAATTTCATAGACAAAAAACTTTGTAAAGAAATAAGTCCCCTTATAGATTTAAACATATAAAATTATTGACACGTTCTAGGTGTCAACATATTGATAATCAGTTCTAGATGATAAATAAAACATAGCCTTCTGAAAGCTCACTAAAGGCGAATTGCCACAATAAAAGAACATGGAAAATGTGTACTACAGTGAACGAACTAGGTGATAGGTAAACTTACAATAGCTATCACGTATTCTTAGATTATCATACTATTTTCGTTCAGGTAACAACATGATTTCGAGTGCAATTTGGTTTTAATGAACACAAGAAAATTTTTCAAAAGGCAATTTTCTGTCATCAAAAAATTTTAAAGTGCTTATTTACACCAAATTGCACAAGAAATTATGTTGTTATTTGTTAACAATTTACATGAAAAACGTATCACATAAAGTCAAGACGTGCGAAATTTTGCCAGCGCACGCTCTATTTGTAATTTACATCCGTGTTACAACATTGCAACCCTGTTACGGCCAATCAGACGCGCGAAATAATTTCATGCATATTATCATCATAGAAAGACATACCTGGTACTCATTATTACATAATTAAACGAGGTAATCTTATTATTCATGCCTCTGTTTCCGTTTAAATGGGTTTATTTACCATAAGGAATAAATGAGAACTTTTTACTTCGAAGCAATGTTGTCTTTCGGCGATAAAGAACAACGGGATAAAGTCTTCCGTGTTTAGAATGGGCCATCGTACCTTGGGATGGTGTTTGAGGTCAAAATTTAAAACAGGAACGTAACACTTGTTAGCTTTCCCGTCCATGCCATTAAAAGACGTTTTTCACAGTTGGGTCATTCATAAGGGTGGTTGGCTTATTGAAGTAAAGGTGGTTTTAAGGTGACATCCTTTAAACCGTATTGCCAATAAAAAGCTCTTAAACAGAGATAGTTTAAAATAGATCAAAACAAAAACACTGTGTAAAAGGTTTGTATGAAAGATTTGTGAGCAATTTTTAGTACACGAATATGTTCCAGGAAGGCTTTTCGTTCAAGACTTCCATATTGAACGTACTTGTATTTCTACTGAACTCGTATGAATTTCTTAAAATCATGAAACTATACAGTTTTAATCTCCGAAACTTTTGGC